CAGGAAAACTCACTGATGGCTATCTTCATCTTCCTCCTGCACTAAAACCACTAAAGTCGTCTTCTTCAGTGTCTTCAGGAGCTGAACAGCCTCAGAATCACTTCATCACTTCCTCAGTCTCTCTGTCGTCGTCGCTCTCAGCCTCACTTTGGTCTCGAGGTGAATTCATAGAAATCCATAAATTAGCCTCATCGTTGTTTAAGCTGCAGCGTTCAGAGCGGGTGTAAAAAATTATATGTCAGACATTACGGTAATTCATAAACACTGCCGTCCCGTCAGCCTGCTGTGTGTGTGTGTGTGTGCTGCTGACTGACGCTGTGTGTTGGTAAACTGATGAACATATTATTACCTGTAAAACATCAGCATGTGGAGTTCAGACGTGTAAATGTGACTACATGTCCTGATCCAGGTGGCCTCCTGACCGGGAAGTATCACTACGAAGACAAAGACGGTTCCCAGCCTGCAGGACGGTTCTTCGGTAACAACTGGGCCGGAGCGTACAGGGACAGGTGAAGGACCTGCAGCCTGGTTTCTAAACCATCCCAACGTGTCCATGCTGTTAAAGCTCAGAGACTAATGACCACTGTCCTCTTCTTCTGTGTCAGATACTGGAAGCAAAGCCATTTTGAGGCCATAGAGGTGGTTCTGAAGGCCTTGGAGACGGCGTACGGCTCAGAGAAACCCTCCCTGACTTCTGCTGCTATGCGCTGGATGTACCACCACTCGCAGCTTCAGGTACCCACAGATAGACGCAGTGACGTGAGCTCATGGCTGGAGGTCCTCGCTGCTCCTACAGGGTGACGGTAGACCAACAGGATGTGACTGACCAGAGACGTGTCCTCACTCGTACCCACTGGGAGGCTCTCCACCCCTGAATGCAGGCTGCTGTTGGACTTGTTGGTTATTACACACAAAGACTGTTTTTAATCTGTCAAAGGCCTAACTGGTAGTTTTAGATTATTTTAAAGTTGCCAGAATGTCTCTAGAAACCAAGACTAACTGCATTAACGAGTACTCGCTGTCCTCCGACACCAGTTACTCATTAACTGACCCCGGATCGTACCTGATCGGGACTCGGCCGGGCTGACTAGTTAATGCCAAACCGAGCCTTCTTCAAACCATCCGTGTGTCCTCATAAAAACCTCGTTTCATTTATCTGCTGTGTCCAGGGTGATCGGGGAGACGGAGTCATCATCGGCATGTCCAGCATGGAGCAGCTTGAGCAGAACCTGGCGGCTGCAGAAGAGGGTCCTCTGGACCAGAGAGTGGTCGATGCGTTCGGTGAAGCCTGGAACCTGGTGGCCCACGAGTGTCCAAACTACTTCAGATGAGGACCTTCTCTTCAGCGCCAACAGCTCAGCCACACACTCACATTACAGAAGACAGACCTGCTGAAGCCACGTCTGGCTTTTCTAGAAACCACATTTAAATAATAAGGTTCCTGTAAACGGGTTGACTGGAGGCGTTTATCATGTCCATGTGTAAGAGCACTTCATTCATGTACAGATGTAAACATGTCGCATATTTTCTGGGGAACAAAAAAATGCCTTAAATTTTCTCACTTTAACAAAACGGTTTCTTCCTTATTTGGGTTGTTTTAACACATGAATGTTTGAAACGTTCTTACATGCAACACGTTCCTCATGATACTGACAAACCTGTGGCTTCAACAACACCACATGTACTCAGACTCCAGTCCCACAAACAACAGCTTAGTCCACAGGAAGAGTTCAAGGTGAAGATCTGTGTTGTGTATAAAAAAGTAAAAATGTGAGATCAGACTCCAGAGGCAGCGCTGGCAGTCACAACGAAAGGCTTCCAGACAGACGTCCCTCTGCTGCTGAAGGAAACAACGTGACGTGCTCCGGCCCCGGCTGAAGCTTCATTCTGCATCATCATCTTCATCTTCATCGTCGTCGTTGTCCTGCATAGGCTCTTCCTGTCCAGCAAAGTTCTCAAACTCTCCTGTCTCTGAGTTCCACATACATTTGATCTGCACCTTGAATTCTGCCATTTCAATAGCAAAGAGTTTCTGTGGACAAAACAACAGTCTGATCAGTCGGTCCGGTGGAGCACAGCTCTACGTTTACTGCACACATCGATCACGTGAAGCGTTCAGAACTCACCAGAATACGAGCCTGCTCCGGAGTCAGCACGTCTCCCTCTTTACAGACGTTGTGGTCTTTCAGCAGCGTCACCACTCCTTCACAACAGAACACAGAATGTGAGCAGCGTGTCTCTCAGCCAAACATGTGACAGATGAAAGCATGTGGTGCTCTCACACGTGTCTGACGGACCTACTGACCAGGAACACGTTTAAAACACACAGACCGGGTTATTTAATGATGAAGAACATGAACATGGGGTTCATTACAGGACATGTCACACTCTTCTGCTGCCAGAAATCCTCCTGACTGCTCCATCCATCCATCATCTCCACACCTTAACCCTCACTAGGGTCATGGGGGGCGGAGCCTATCCCAGCTGACTCAGGGTGAAGGCAGGTTCACCTGGACAGGTAACCAGTCTATCACAGGGCTACACTTAGAGACAGACAACCAAGCACACTCACACCTATGGACAAATTACAATCACCACCAATCATAGCTGTGAGGCGCTAACGGTGCTAACCACTGATCCACCTGCAGCCCTCTGACTGCTCCTTGTGATTGGAATTAGTCCAAGAAATGCATCTACTGCTGTGCTACAAACTACAGAACATGACTGAGGTCCTCACAGGGAGCTGCCTGGCTCGGGACAGGGGAGGACCACCACGCTGTTGGTTCTGTTGTTTTCATGGGATTCCTGCACAACAAGACAGGTCTATAGATTCGTGTGTGACCAGACGTCTTCTTTAACGAGCTGACCTTTTTTGAGAGCAGTGGGAAGTCCTAACTGTCTCAGCTGGGGCTCCATTGAATGAGGGAACTGGTCCAGGGGTCCTTCGTCCAGAGTGATGTCCATGTGTGCCTGGTTGCCTGCTCGAGCAAAGTCCATCTCTTTGAAATGACTGAAGTACCTGTGGGGAGACCAGGACACACGGTGAACCCACAGGTAGTATCTGGGAACCACTGGTGAGCTTCACTGAGGTATACTCACTCCTGTACTTCATCCTTGGTTTTGTTGGTGAACAGCACACCGACTTCTCCTCGCAGATACTTGCTGACCTGAACATGATCAAAGCAACACAGATTTAAAGTTTCTTACATGAATAACTTCCACAATCAAAGGAAGCTGTGTTATCTCTGAGGGGAAACTGTTTTACACCCAGCAGCAGTCACATAATAGGATCGATTAGAAACAGAAGACAAATATTGTCTATAACGGCCCACTGACTGATCAAACAGCCTCAACAGCCGTATGAGACTTTATCCTGTGTGGTGGCAGACTGTGTCGGCAGCCACACAAACATCTTCACCTCTGGACAGGTGGCGGCTGGGATCACCCAGTACTGACTGGGCCCGCTTTAAAGGTGTTCTGATGCTGCTCGTTAGAGCTCACCTACCTTATGCAAGTTATCTTTGTATTCATCCGTATTCCCTTTTCCCAAAGCGACAATCATGACTTTGTTTTTGCCAAAGAAGAACCTGTGAAGCAGAGAGAAGCTCAGTTCAACACGTCTGTCCCAGAACCACATGTATGTTCTGGAGGACTGGTCAGGTAGGAGGCCAGCGTGTTCATGTCACGAACACACAAACACGACCAAACACAACCGAACCAGTGCTGAGTTCTCCTCATGTTGCTCTGAAGCAGCATTCAGTGCATCTCACTCTTCAGTCTGACGTTAAATCAGCAGGATCTGTTTCCCCCCCACAGTGATGACATCATAGTTCAGTCATATCGGACATCCTGTACGTTCAACATGAATATTAAACATGTCCTTTTATTAAAGACCAAATGTTCCATACCTAAAACATTATCTGACAGAAACCATCTAAAACTGGACGTCTTGGATGTACAGACAGCCTCCATATAACGAGCAGCGACAGGCTCCATTAACGTCTTTAATCCTCTTCAGTGTTATTTTATCGTCACCTGACCGGACTGCTGTGAACCTGATCCTACTGAGCTCCTCTGTACCTCACCAGAGAGACCAAACTGTGTCTGTGACCTCTGATAATCCTAAATCATCAGGTTACAGGGTTAAGGTGTGTTCTGTCTGTTTTAAACACACATGTACAATAAAAACTGTCAGAATATGAAGACACTGAGTCCTGTGATTCCTCAGCCCCCCCAGCTAGACGGCCTCCTGGTTTACAAGCCGGTGAGAATTGGACCCAGTTTCTATGTCAAAACTTTACTGAACCAATAAAGCAGGACTGGTTGATGGTTCTTCTCCCTGAGTCAGCTGGGATAGACTGGTTACCTGTCCAGGTGAACCTGCCTTCACCCTGAGTCGGCTGGGATAGGCTCCGCCCCCCACCACCCTAGTGAGGGTTAAGGTGTAGAGATGATGGATGGATGATGGCTGCTGTTTTCACCCTGAACTCAGCCTGTGTTCGACCTTCACATCTGGTAACTTCTCTCCTGCACTTGTTTAAATATTTGACTGTTTCTGTGGTCTGACTACAGAACCGACTACAGAACCGTTCCATCCTTCAGTCACTTCTGGGCCATTTCCAAGCTGCTGCTCTGCTGGACTCTTGGTTTTATAACTGCAGCGCTGTCTGACAGCAGCTGTGCAACCAACTGGACAATATTTCAATGCAAAGGTAGTCTCAGAGAAAGAGTTGGAGGCAGTGGACAGTCCTGGTCTCACTCATCCACGTCTATCTCATCGCTGCTCTCCTCCATCATCAACCACAGATGGAGGCAGAGGTGGACCTGGGCTGGTCATGCTGAACAATCCCTGGAATATTTGGAGCTGAACAATGAAGAGAGCCGGTCTGGGGACGTGTGAAACTGTCAATAACTTCCTAAACATGCTCCCCATGTGGGACCTTTAAGGTCATCAACCAAAGCCTCTGTGGTACCTGCTGTGTTTCCACGCTGTCCTGATGTCCTTCAGCTTGCTGTTCCTCATGTTGGCCACAGAGAAGATGAACAGGTTCCTGTAGGTGTCCACACATGTCCGTAGCTGAGGAACAAACCAGGTTTAGACTCCAGCAGCTGGAGCTGGACAGAAAGCAGAGCAGAACACACTCACCTCCTCGATGAGCTTCTGTTTGGACTCCAGGCCCTTCTTGGCGGTTTTCGTTAACGAGACTGAGGAAGGAGATCAAGCAGAAAGCCGTCAGTCGGTTGGTTTAACTGAAGCTGGGTGCTGCAGCCTGTATCATACATGTCTGTGGCTGTAGCCACGCTGAGGACCGGTGAGCTAGCCTTAGCCTGCTAGCCTGTTAGCTGTTAGCAGCACTTCCGGACACTTTCACTCATCAGCGACAACAACGACCAACAACGAACCGCTCACAGCCCGAACCGGGTCGACATTCAGGTAAATATCACGACCTGAACCTTCATTTGCTTACTTTTCTTGTCCCTCTTTGACTTCGGCATGGTTCCGTCTCACGATGGCAGAGCAGCACGCGCACACGTGAAGTCGAAGGACCCCGAATGTTTCTGTTGGGCGGAGCTGCCCTCCACGCGCCTGACTGGAAACCAAACTAACTCAGATCAAACACACGTTGACCTCTGACTTAGGAGTGTTTTTAACTTTACCACGAACAAGTGGCATAGGTTTTAGGCCCAGTTCTGATTATTAATGACCTTCCTGAAGACATTTTTCTTCCTTTAGCAGAAATCACGTTTATTATTTGTATGTATTTTTATTTCAGAGAACTTTTCATGTGCCTTTGTCAACACTGACAACCTGTTTTTAATATCCAGGCCAAAATCCACGTGTGTAGCATGACAGAGTGAAGCTGATATGTGTCTGAAATAATATGGATTATGGAGGGATTAATCCAGCAGAGGGCCCCTCTGAGCCTTACATGACTCAAGACATGAATGTAGAAATGACTCAGAGGTCCATGTTCAGGCGGGCTCTTGGCTCTTATGTCTGAGTGTTTTTACATAGAAAGTTGTGTGTTGATGCTCCACAGTTTGGGCCTTTCTGTGTACGTTTCAGAGATGTTGCACCAGCACAGTCACCTCTTTCTTAATGGATGTGATGAGAAACAGAAGTACAGCACATCACCCTGATATCATCAAGAACCCGGCTGGCTTTATGCCCAAATATGACCCAATATAGTGGCAACACTGGCACACAGAGGACACGTTAGGACAAGTTAAGGCAAGACACAACAAGCCAAGTCAAAGGCAAGATTAAATGGGACTGTATTGATCCCAAAAAGCAGAAATAATCTAATAACAATGCAAAGAGGAATGAGTGGAAAACTCAAGAAACAATATAACTGCACTATAAATACAAATTAGAGGCTCTTTAAGTACAAATTGGCAAATGAGAGCAAATATGAGAAGACAAACAGGCAGCAGACTGAAGTGACACAGCGAGTGAACCGGACGCTCAGGTCAGCTCACCTGGTTTCTTCCAGAACGTGGAGTTTGTGTGGTGACTTCATACATTTGAACAAAGTGACACATATTTCACATGTATTGTACTTAAAATCAATAAAATATCACCTATAGCAAACGTGTTAGAATTAGAGGCACAAAATGAACTTTATTACAGTGAAACGTACAAACAGCAGCACACAGAGCACCAGGTGTTGTATAAACCAGATGATAGAGGACACTGCAGTTCTGTGTTCAGACTGTGAGAGGCCTGGATCAGTGTTGAATCGGTATATTAAAGCCATATTAGAGCTGTTGCTCCTTACATTTAGCTAGAGAGGGAGATGCTGTTGGCTCTGTGTTACATCAACTGCTTTTTAAATAGCATTGTTCTAATGCTTTACACATCTCAGGCTGTTTGAACCATACTCCGTTTAAACACTGTCAACATCTCCATGACTCTTTATGACTCCTCGGATTGCTCCCCTTGCTGTTTGTCTGACTTCCAGCAGTTCTTCTTTTAAACCTTCCTTAAATATTCTCTACTTGTGCTTTCCTGTAATGCACCAAATCCCCGCGTCAGATTCTTGTGTTAAAAAACCTACTCGGCAATTAAAGTAAATCTGATGCTCATAAAAACTAACAAACCTTCAGCACAGTAAGATGTTTGTGAGTTCCTGTCGAAAAGTTTCCCTATAATTAAAGTCCATAGGAGCTCCCAGAGTGATTACTGTGCTGAGAGTTACTTTTTTATTATGAGAAACATCCTCATTTATAACAAACCACCAAATGACAGGCCTCAGCGTGGTGCGTAAAACTCAGTGAATAGGATCGCATTGTTGCAACCGTCTGCTTGATCCAATTAGTCTTATCTGTGTGTCCTCAGACAGTCCGTGATCCCGCCGGTCCACCGAGAGAGAGAGAGAGAGAGAGAGAGAGAGAGAGAGAGAGAGAGAGAGAGAGAGAGAGAGAGAGGTGGGAGGGGCTGGTGTCGGGGATAGTGCCTAGTTTAGCACTTTGCAACATGATCCACGGAGAGGCCGGGCTCTGCGGCGCTGCATCCTGCCACACCGCGCCACATGGAGACCGGATAGAGGCTCGGTGAACGGGGAATGACAAGGAAAGAAGGTGGACCGTCTTCCTCTGTGGGCTGCCTATATGAACAGCATCCTGACAAAGCAGAGGCAGACAGAGAGATGAGGCTGACGGGAAGCGCTGATTGCGGTCTGCGTCAAAGCTCCTTCAGCAGATGATGATGCCCTCTGTGCCTCCGAAGGGACTTTTCGGGTTTGTTGTTTGCCTGTGAACACCCCTCATGCGGCAGGGGTCCGTGGTGGTAACTCGGGGTGTCAGCGTCCAGCAGGGACCGTCATGGTCAGCCCGTCTCCAGTAGCGCAGCCACGCTCAGCATCTGCAGTGTGATCAGAGGGACGGAGAGGGGATATGCAGAGATAAAGAGAGAGAGAGAGAGAGAGGGAGAGAAAAACTCACAACAGGTTTTATTTTCAGATCCTTTCCAGACACAGCCATAGCCGGATCCTCGGCTTTCCTTGTTTACCACCATGAACTCGCTGTTTTTCTCCGACACTCCGCCCGGTCCGGTCTGCAACGTCCCCACCGGCTCGGGCGCGGTGACCAGCGCCCTGCGAAACGACCTGGGCTCCAACATCCATGTGCTCAAAACCCTCAACCTGCGCTTCCGCTGCTTCCTAGCCAAAGTCCACGAGCTGGAGAGGAGGAACAAGCTGTTGGAGGGCCAGCTGCAGCAGGCTCTGCAGAGGACGCAGTACCGCCACCTTTACGCCCGGGAGGTCGCCGTGCAGACGGACGGTCCCGAGTCGAGGCTGCCGGGCACCATCTGGAGCTTCACCCACGTCCGGAGGCAGGGGGAGCGCTTCGAGACCGTGCACGGGCCCGGGGTGACGTGGACGCACCCGGACGGAGTCGGGGTCCAGATAGACACCATCACCCCTGAAGTGAGGGCTCTGTACAACGTGCTGGCCAAAGTCAAGCGGGAGCGGGACGAGTACAAGAGGAGGTGAGTGGACGCAGTGTGCATGTGGCTGTTGGTGCTCTCCATGTGTTCCCCACGACACTGGCCATGTAGAGGCTGTCCAACCTGAGGCCAGAACACACTCAGGTCCAGTAGTGGTTGAATGTGTTGCTGTGGGTCCACATTGTTTCAGAACAACACTGTCCAAGTGGAAAGTCTGTGGCTCTGAACAGATCTTCACTGCCCTCATGGAGCCACACAGAGATAAGAAACACGCTGGGAAAAGCAGAACCTGTCACAGACACAGCTCCAGTCCCGGTGCTGAGTTCTCATTAGGTCCAGACTGTAGTCCACATCCATCCACGGTGAAGGTCCGGCTCATCCAGACTGGACGTGACAGAAGTTCTGCTCGTGTAGGGCTACAATAAATCTGGACATATAATCAATATTGCTCTTGAGGATAGACTCATTGTTCTCGTGTTAGATGGATCACACTGAAGCTAGAATGATGAGGGGATTAACCAGGAACTATCTTCTGTTAAATAGTTTTTTGATGACTTTCTCCAGTCTGATGATGACCCGTTCCTGATGGTTGGCGAGCTGAACCAGCTGCTGCCGTTCACTTTGTGTGGTTCTTGTCTCCCGTGTGGCTCCGATTGGCCAAAGTCACCTGGAGCTCATAGTCGTGGACAGATGTCAGACTCAGAGTTACACCTGAGCCAGTGTTTCACATGATGTCAGAACCGAGTGAGCCTCAGCATTTCTCATCAGAACCAGGTGTTTATCATGAACTGGACCCATCCTGTTTCTCTCACACTTCTGAGGAAATTCCTCTGCATGGCTCAGTCTCCAGCAATTGTTGTTCTTTTAGTCACATTAACTGGTTTCCTTGAGGACTCACTGCAGCGTCCCCGGCTGACCTACGTCACCGCTGACCGGCTTGGCTGGCTACTGGAGGGAAACATGCCAAGCAACCGCCTGCTTCTGTTTGCCTTCATGATTCAAGCAGAGAGGCATTTTAACGGGCCTCCGTCTGCTCGGTGAGGTCGCTATGACGAACGCCGACTTCCCTGTGAGCTCACTGACTCAGTGACACAGAATGTGTGGCTCTCCCACTCTACTGGGAAACTGGATATCCTGTCCAGTCATCCCTGTGGAACCAGCAGACCCTTTTTTGTGCATTTCTGCTGTAGAAGATAACCGGCAGCTTCTGGGACGGCAGCCAAATTAAAACCTCCTGCAGCTGAAATCTAAAGTCGGGTCTCTTTCTGGCAAAGAATGGGAGCTGTTTCTCTGTAAGCCATTGAAGGAGCCACCTCAGATGCTTTTTCAATTAGCAGCTTCAGTAAGAACACATCCAGTCCCTCCACTTTACACATTCACTCCTACAACCTTTGTTTTTATTTCATGACCATCACCAGCGTCAGACGCTCCCGTTCTGTTCTTCCTGCATGTGGAAATGTGAGGAGCAGCACACATTCCTAGCTCCTTTATTGGACAGTAATCATGGTAATCAATCTCTTTTCCTGCTTTGCTTCTTCCTCGCTGGCTCTGAGCTCAATAATTGCATCACTGCTGAGTTCCCTGGCCAGTCGCTTTCTTTCTGTGTCCCGGTCTAAATCCTCTTTACTATAGTCACGTTTCAGCATTCAGCCCCTGAGCTCCATCCTGCCATGCTCTTTGTGTTCAGCCATTCCTTCACTCCACCCTCTCCAGCCCCTCCACCCCTGCGCTCCGCTGCGTGTCATGTACAGGCTGCTTTGTAAGGCATCCTCATTCCCGGTGGAGGCCCCCACCCTGCGCTCGCCCTGTGATTTATTGAAGTGTTTCGAGGGTGGACACACACGGGGAGATGGATGTCCAGTTGTCCTGTTTGTGATTCGGTCGCCTGCATTCCCACCATGTTTACGTCGTCTCATCCACAGCCTGCTTCTGACCAACACAACATGTGCTGATGTAAAACAGTGACGCTGGCCAAGCTGCATTCTGAAGTTAGTACGCATCAAAAACGCTGCAGATTAATGCAAAGAATATCTGCCACATGATACCGACGTACAGGAGATGTTTTCTGATTTCTTGAACCCCAGTTTCTCTTTAAATTTTTACCTTGAGTAGCATTAAAGCAGAACATCAGTGTCAGCACCATAAATCTACACATCATACAATCTGATCAACAGCTAACATGTATGTTGTGAAATATTAGATCAGACATAGTAAGAGTCACTATGTCCTGTTTTATATATTCATCATTCTTTAAAACAAACCAACTTGGGCGTCTCTACAGCTCACTGGGTTGAGCTGGCATCACATGTCCAGGGCTACAGTCCCAATATGGAGGTCATGAGTTCGAATCCTGCTCATGGCCCTTTCCCACATTCTTCTCCCCACTGTCCTGTCTCTCTCTCACTGCTCTGTCAAATAAAGGCAAAAGGCCAAAAAAACAAGTTTAAAATAAGCCAACAATGAACAGTGCTAATGCCAGTCTGTAGTTAAATATAGTTTTAGTAGTAATTACAGTACAAATAGTTTTTAAACTTGCTAAACAAAATAAAATAGGATTGTAAAGAAATGCAGACTAAGGATGGATGAAGTTTGTCTTTAATTTGACAGATTTGTTTTAATCCATTTTTATATAGATTTAATTACTTTTCTTATCTTGACAGCATTTTTCGGTCACTTTGCTTCGTTTGTTATTTTATTTAAATGAATTTCCATGTTGTCCTGCAGACCAGAGCAGCGTTAGATTGAGTCACGCCGTCTGTTTGCAGCTACTTTGCAGATATGAAGTGTTCAAAGGTTGGTTACCTTCATCACACAATCTCACAGAGAACAATGCTGTTCTTTGTGTATTTGTGGATCAGGAAAAGCTCTTTAACGTCTTTTTATTCAGATTTTTAACCTAATCTATCACATTGTTCCCTTTCACTGCACTGTTGTGTTTATTCCTGCTGTTACACACAACAGGGTTCCTCCTTGTGCCTCCGACACCGTGTCCAAGGACCAGTCAGACAACCAGCTCCTACAAATGCCCACTTAGTGCCCCCGTCTGGGCCGCGGGGTTACATCCGTCTGCCGCTAACAAACGATGGTGCAGAGGGAGATAGGTGAGGTCAATGCCAATGCCCTCAGTCGCCTTGTTTTTATTCCACGGTCTTGTATCGCTGTGAAATGTGTCACCTGGGAGTCAGGGAGGCTCCAACAGTAGCTGCCACCAGCATGCGATGGTGCTTTAGTGGCATGAAAACAGAGGCTGATGAGCACACGTGACAGCTGACGGTACGCTGCAGTAACTAAGAACTGATAGCGTCGAGCTGCTGATGACGGCCGTCTCTGTGTCACCAAAAAGGCACATTTGTTTGCAATTTGCCTGTTGGGCCTTTTAGTGCAGAGACGTAACAGACAGCTGCAGCCTTTATGGAAATGACTGGACGGACAGGTATATGGGCAGGGATGTGCTCACAGTGTGTGCAGAGCTGCATAAATAAAGATAAGCATGCTTCATATCAGATAACACCAGATAAACGCTCGTTTGTTGTTGGTTCACATGAATTTATACCAAACTGAGCTGCACACTGCGGTTCTGAACAGAGCAGAACCATTCATAACAGTATCACCACTTTGAGGCCTTCTGCAGTGCTTCAGACACTCTCTGCTGTCGTCTGAAAGGTCACATCAGTGCCACGCTGTGCTCCAGTTGGGCTTTGAAGCAGAGCGCTGATGGTGGCTCTGGCCACTTCTGATTGGTTGTTTGTTCCAGCGCTGAGCAGAGGCCAAACAGCTGTCCTGCTGGATCCCAGCGTGGCTGATGCAGGACTGTAGTGAACCAGGACAGTCTCTGGGCCTCCTGGGCATGTTCTTCCTCCTGCATGAATAATTCACACGCAGCTGAATTTAGCCGTGTGTGGATCAATCAAATGAGAATTCAGTGAAGACTCTGTTCTGAGGCTTTGATCTTGGTTCCTGGGCTTACGGAGGCTGAAAGGCAGAGTTGAGCCTCTCCTTTGAAAGCAGGATTCAGACTTTCCCTGGTAAAGACCTATAACTAATTACAGGGTGAGGTAAACTGTGCCTCCAAAGCTGGGGGGCTGCATTGTGTTTCAAATATCTTCTTTCCCCATAAAGAGCAGCGAGCTGCCCTGATGAGCTCTCCAGCCTCTCGCTGTCTGTCTTTGGGGCTGACCTGCGCTGCTTATAATCTAGGCCGTCTATTCAGGAGAGGGATTTTCTCTAAGCCGTCACCTAGCACCCAGGCTCCAGCATGCAGCCAAGCCTGCACCACATCCTGGCACTGCTCTGGACCGGGCCTCTCCGAGTGGAAGACTTCCTGCTGCTGAGATACAGCAGAGAGGAAGAAAGAGAGCTCAGTTCACTGAGAGCATTTAGCTCCAGATTAGAGCCTATATTGTTTCTGTGTTGAGCTTCTCTTCAGCTCACAGCCTGTCTTTGTGCTGTTCAGTCTTCTGTTTCTGTGACTATAGGCCACTTTATATAGTATAGATGAGGTATGCATCCTGTAGGTAATAACCTGGTCTGACCTCAGTGGGAACATTAACAGGACGAGGCTGCTGATGTCGGTCGTCCCTCAGCTCTGATCCTAGAACACATGAGTAAACAGGGTGGCGTTTTCTTTATTAAGGTGAACACGAGCACATCGTTTATTCTGAACAAATCCCACATTACCTGTAAATGCTCGCTGGAGCGGCTTCCCAGGACCAACCCAGAGTCTGAGGTGATTCAGAAGCACTTTTCTTCAACACAAACACCAGCACCTTTTGTCTGGTGACATTTCGGCGTGTTTTATCCACTGATTGTACACAAAGATTGACGAACGCTCCGTGACATCACCCACAGATTACCTGACGAGCAGTTTCTGGGCTCAACACCTGACTCCTCCCGCTTAATCCAGAAGTGAGCAAAGAGGTGGAGCATGGGTGGAACCGAGGCGGGCCATGAAACATGTCTGGGCCAGGTCTTATAATGTCACTTACCTGTCACTCAGAGTGGCAACACCTTTAATTATGCATATCTTTAAGCCTTGATGCAGT